TAAGTGAGATTATCAAAGTAAAAAACCATTTTCACTAGCAGCGTTTAATTTTGTCTAAGAAAAATAGAGGAGGATGAAAGTTGACAGTGCTCTTGCTCTTGATTCTTATACCTTCCTTCCAGGCGTTATCCTTATTAGCATCCTGATTTAAAGGGTTGTTGTGGAACTAGTCGTTGGAGTAGAAAGTTAAGGAGCAGGTGAGCCTGTTATATGATCCAGTACTTGTCCCTAATGCCTGCGTGCATTTCCCTTAGACCGCAGGAAATGAGCATGATAACGAATTCAGGGAGCAGAGAGCTCGCCGGCAGACTTGTCGCCAAGTGCTCTTTTCAAGGTTTTGCAAGCTGTATAAATGTGCTAGAAAAGAATGGATTCGTAAGTGAGAGCTCATAAATTCATGACCTCTTTCATGTTTGCACCAAGAGCTGGCAAATACCTCTCCGTGAATGTGAACTTCCTTGTTTCTTTGCATGACCAGGTTTACAGAAGATTCAGCTCTAATCCATTTCTATGAATATTATTAGTTTGCTTTCTTGGCTTCTGTGACACTGAAACAGATCTCATTAGGAGTGGGCTTTCTGTGGCATTTGAAGGCTTTTTCAGGTTTCTACCAATAGCGGTTGCTGCTCCGATCTTACAAGGTTTGTTCTTGCAAATCAGACTTCCATTAGCTGGTCTGAGTAAAGACAGCCGTGCGAAGAGGAGAGTTGAAATTACATTGCCACAAGTCAGCTTGGCTCTCGGGCTGCTGGGGACTCCTGCTGTCGTCTTCTGTATGATGTGAACCATACTTGGTGTTTCCACGGTGGATGGACCCCTTCACTCTGAGCTCCTGCCAAAGTTGGTCCATCGTGGGGGACGCAGGTTCAGATGATCTTTGTTAATCCCAGTGGCTGGGCATAAGTTGCTTTGCAACATGCTCAGCAGGCTCGTAGGGACCCTGTATATCTGTACGGTTCTGGCTTTGCATCGTGGCTGTGGGTGAAGGGGGTGATGTTCCTGCTGGGTACAAAGGCAGAGCAGTAGTGATGCTCTGTCTCTGGGACAACAGAGTTCAAGAACTTCCCAAGTCTCTGCAGATTTTTAGGAGCGTCAACGTGATTGTAACGAGGCAGTTGAGATTTTTTTTCTTCAACGCCAGATTAGTAGGGAAGCAAACCATTGCTTCTTAAGAAGCTTTCAATAAAAGAAACCAAAAAAGGGCAAAGTATTATTCAGATACCCCTTTCTGAATATTTTTTTTTTAAAAAAAGGCCTATTTCTGTGATGCTCTCAAGCACAGCAAAGCTTTGTTATGTGAGTACTTTTGCTATAAAATACAGGGGCTGGAGATTAAGAACAAACGGTAAACAGCTCTGTTAAAAACCAATGAACGTTTTGTTTTGTGGTGCCATCTCGTAATCCTAAGTAATTTTTGTTAATATCTCCGAGTGTGAAGCTGGGTGTTGAAAGCCTTGCCGTTTCGTTGTCCGCTGCTGTGGATCAGCTGGGCAGGGATGGGGCTGTGCTGCGCCGTGTCGCGTGGGCTTTTGTCTTTGCGTTCGTGGAAAGACAGCGAGTCCTGCGTGGCCAGCGGGAGATGCTTGGTTCTGCGGAGGCATCTCCTGGCAGAGAGCACCACGTTTACAGCTGGGTACAGGGCCTGGGGTTATTGCGTGATGGACAGAGCGATGTTTTAGCTTCAGGAAGCGAAGACAGATATGGTTGCTGACGTGCTGCTGCCTTTTTCATAGAGTCTTTTAGACTTTTTTTTTTACAGTTAAATTTGTTTAGAACCTGTCTCTGAACACTGGGTCTATTTTAACAGGGTTTTTTTGGCAGGGGGTGAGGCGATAAAGGTACTCAAAAGGAAAGGTTTAGTGAGGATGCGGATGGCGCTTCTGATGCAGGCTTTCTCCATGCTCATCCATGGAGTCTACATACCTCTGGTAGTGAAGAAAAAGAACGATTTATATCTATTTAAAATGATCTGGCTTAGTTCTGTTTTATTTCACGTGTTACCAGGCTCCAGCTGCAGCAACCTCCCCTGTGCTGGCTTCCAGCTGCAGCTTCGGAGGCTTTCTCAGGAGGGGTCTCGAGGCGGACACCCCTCCTGGACGGAGGCGTGTGGAAGGAGGGTCTGGGAACCTCGTGCCTGTTCGGCAGCTGAGGGGTTTTGCTCTCGGCAGTTGTCTCTGGATTTTAGCCCAGAGAGTAGGGTTGATACGAAAGGGAACAAATGCCTCTCTGTTCCAGTACGCGGGCTGGTAGATACTGATGCCTCGTGGGCTGGACTGGAGTGAGTCTAGCGGGTGTCTTAACGCAGCAGATTTCTTGGAAGGGTAAGAGGACTGGACGTTTTGCATGTCGTCTTAGCGGTGCCCATGTTTGTCTGACAGCCGGGTTGGAGCCGTAGCAGCTGATGATGCTCGGAAGCTGCAGGTAGGAGACCATCGCTGATGCACGGCTGGGCCGCACGGTGCATGTGCCGTGACTGTGCCTAGAGCCTGCCCGTCCCGGTCCAGGCATGTAGCACGGGACGTCTGGCATCTCTTCCACAGGGCAGATGTGCCACACGATGGTTAATGCACCTCCGTTTCTATCTCAGGCTCTTACGGGAGTCCCAAGTTGCTGCTTTATCACAGAATAGGGTCCTACAGGTGCACACTGGGGGTGGTATGCCCTCACAACCTTACCGGGCAAGTAATGGCGTTGACACATTTTAAGTTTGCACCTTTCAGACTACGTAACTCTGCAGTCCCTGTGGCAAGCAAGCTCACGACGCTGCCGCTGCTGCTTCTCATCTTTAATGGCAGCAGCAGCTTAAAATGCCCTAATGTGTGTGAGCACGTCTGATCTTGCTGCCTTCAGCGTGCTGGAGCGAATGCTCTTGCTGTTTGGATGAGAGGGGTTTGAAGAACAAATAGATGACTGTTTCTAATTCTAACTTATATTGTTTCCTGTGAAGCTGTCCCCTCTGCAGGGGAAACACGGTAGAGCCATAACAGGAACAAGCAAACATCCCGCGCTTCCTGGTGACTGTAATGACTCTGCTGACTTGAAATGCATCATTGCTTTAGTCTATCGCTAGCTGACTTTTATCTAGGGTGTTTTTTACTGTTAATGATTAGACATTAAACAGTTCCCTCTAGAAACAAGCTCTGCAGCTACTTGCCCTCGCAGAGCTTGCAGCATCTGTTCTAGTGCTGTTGCCATGAAAACTGGCTGAGCACCAGCAGCAGCCCTGTTATTGCCCTGTGGCCCCTTGCAGCACCAGCCGTAGTTACCCGATTGTTTCTATCGCACCTTAAAGGAAACCCAAGCTTGCAAAAGCTTTACCTAAAATAATAATGTTCATATTCTCTATTCCCTTTATGCTTTCTTCCATTAAATGTTCTAGCATGAATTGGGTGTTTCCAATTCCAAAACCCTTGCTAGAGGGTTTCATCTAGGGTCAAGCCTTGGAGGGGTCTTGGTAGCCTTCTGTTTGCAGGGGTTGGCTGGCCGTTGGAAACGCTGAGGTGTCTGCCCGTCATCACGAATTAAATACTCAAGTCGTATCTGGAGCTTTGGACACAATGCAACGTAAACATAACTGCGACGAGGATATTTACCCTTAAGTCAATGACAAATCTGGCCAGACGGTGGTGGAGCCAGGGTTTTATCAGAGGTGTTTTCAAAGGTACAAATTAAACATTGTGAAGGTTCCCGAAGAAAGGTTTATTAGTAATCACAGCTCTGTAATTGGGTCCTGGACACGTGCCCTCCCCGAGTTCTGTTTTTCATGTTGTGTTTGAAAAGAAACAAACCAAAAAAAACCCTGTTGGGCTGTGTGTGTGAGGGTAGCATGATGGCTGTAGCTGTGATGAGGACATGGGGGAAAGGGTTTGGGATCTTTGCACAGCCACTTTTGTGTCCTGTCATCGTCACTCATGCCCTGCGGGGTGGTGTTCACGGGGCCAGAGCTCCTTAGGTTCTGCGTGGTAAACCTGTACCAAAGATTTCCGCGGTTTCTTTCTGGTTCTTGTGTGATGGGTCCGAATTCCGCATTTTCTTTTGCAGATTTCATTATCTGCCGCTTGACAAAGGAATATAATGCAGCAATTTTCCTAACCTAAATAGTGATTCTGAATAACTGTATTTCCAGCTCCCCTTTAACTTGTACTTAATTTAAGTGTGTGGGCTTTTTAATTTGATCGTTGTGGGGAGGAACAAAGAATGAAATGCTGCAGATATGCCTTCCTCTTCCCTTTTTTTAGTTAAATCTGTCTTTGTCATTCTTTTTCTCTTTGACTTCCATGAGCTGCTCAAGCTATTTTTCTCTAGTTTCTTTTGTTGTAGCTTCTACATCGCAGTCTTACATCTTTAGAAATATATAATGCATGTATGTGACTGCTTCCTTGCCATCACCGCATCATTGTTGTCAGCATATGACAAATAACGTGATTGATGGCTGACTAAGCATTCTGAATATTTCTTCATTCTTTGTGTGCCTAATGATATTTTTTTCTTGTGCATAGGGAGGCATGAGTGGATGGCATCTCTTGTGCCGATGGAGCCATCTTCAGACTCAGATATGAAATTGCACTGAGCGCAGACAGGTGCTCTGCCTCCGTGGCAGGAGTCAGCCTTAAAGCTGGCCAACCATCATAGCTGCGAAGCTGCTAATCATTGAATCCATGTGACGTGCCCCTCATACTTATTGGGTGACTTTAAATAGTTCTGTAATAGCCAAGTCTAGCCTGGTTTCAAGCAGGGAGAAAATGTGTCTGTCAGTGTAAAAAGGGTCTTTGTAGCCATATGGCTATTATGTCTGCCTTCATTAAATGAAAAAAAAAAAAAAGGGGTGAGGGGTGCTTCAGCTGGGGGGTTTTTTTAGCCATATGGCTATTATGTCTGCCTTCATTAAATGAAAAAAAAAAAAAAAAGAGGTGTGAGGTGCTTCAGCTGGTTGGATCAAAGTCAGGCATTCCCCGCAGGAATGTTTTAATTGCTGAAAACTCTCTCCATTTCCTTTTTTAGGAGAGCTGTCCTTTTTTTCAAGCCAGGGAGCGCATCTGCCTTTGTGCTGAAGAAGGTGGTGTGAACGCTCTCTGACCAGGTACGTTTATGCAGCAGTACACCACAAAGCCATCCAGACCACCTCTCCTGCCTCACAGTTAATTTTCCACATCTCTGTATCCTTGACTCCCCAAACCAGGGATATCTTATGAGGTGAGTAGTGTGAATGGGATAGCAGCACGCTCGGAGTCCACTTAGAGACAGTTTGACCAAGGTAGGGTGTTAAGTGTCTAAAATTGCCCCAAGGTCACACAGAAAGCTAACGTGCAGGTGTTGCCTGTAAGTTGGAATGGTTTTTCTGAATTACATTCTTTTTCTGTGATGATTGTTACCGTATTGCCATTCTTTAGATGTTATGATATTCTCCGGGGTAGACGCAGTTGTGCCATGCATTATCTGCCATACAATTCCAGGTGAAAAGATTAAAGTTTTGATAGGATGACATAAAGGTACCTTCAAGGTTATTAGTTAAAACTGACCTACCTTAAGAGCAGCTCTTCCAAAAGGCATTCACACTTCCTTCCTCAAAGCAATGTATCAGGCAGGGGAGCGTTAGCAGAGTTGCTTGTCGCCTCTGACTTGCCTCTTGGGCAGAAATTGATTTTTTTTAAGAGATGCCAACAGCGTGTTGGTCTTCAGCGTCCTTCCGTGGGGCTGGTTTTGGAGTCTCCAAGAGAGGGCAGTGTGTCCCTGGCAGCTGGACCGCACAGCATCAGCTCCCAGGCGTGCACCGCCTCTGCTCGTCATCTCAGAAACAGCATTAGACTCCAGAACGCTGAGAGAGCGTAAGTCCTTGAAACCATTTGAAGTGAGTAATTGACTGGCAGACTCATTAGCAAATGTATTAGGAGCTGTATATCATCATGTGACTGTTGGTCCTCTCCCCAGGCTGTGGCAGGGGTCCGGCAGCGCTTCCTCTTGCCTCACTTTCCTAAAAAATGTCCCGTCTGTCCCACTTGCGTCATTTTGCCCTACTTTTTGCACTTGGTGTCTCCTCCAAGAGGGGAACGATGTTCGTGGGATCAGCATAGAACTCTGCTGTGAGTCAGAGTCAACTGGAGACTTAATTCAAAACATAAGGAACTGGGGAGAAAAACAAAAAAAGGAAAACTAATGGAGCTTGTTATATTGTAATATTTTGCCTTAGGGCTCCAAACAGGAAATGCTTATGCCAGTCTCCATCTCAAAAGCAAATCTTTGTTCACTAAAGAGGCAGATTTTTACTGAAGTATGGAAGCACGCATCCCTCCCCAGCCCAGTGTGCTTTTTTCCCTTTTTAAGCTGTTTCTGCAGCAGGGCTGTGAATGAGTTGTCACTGCTGGGTTTGGCTTCTGTTTTCAGGACCCATTTGTGAACCCTTTCGTTTCGTTCAGCTCTGCGTGGTGAATAACCAGCAGTTCTCTGCTGCCAGTCAGGACTCTCACAGCACCTGTCTGTTATTTAGGAAGCAGGTTTTAATCCTGTCAATTTTTGCCCGGTTCCTAAAGGTACGTGAAGGCACCTTTATTGGTGACTCACATCTTGCAGAAATGATGCTGCCCTGGCCTAGTAATCGCTGACATATCGAGAGCACCCTGTTTCCCAGGGTTCATTAAGGCGTTTAGTTTTTTTACTAATTGACTGTATAAAATTGCTCAATAGCCCCTAGAAGACAGGGCACTTGTATAACATGAAAGCACGTTGAAATAACCTCAAAAGTTGCTTTGAGATAAAAATGTATCCCAGGAGAAACATCCACGTTTAAAACAAAACTATTAACCTTGCTTCTAAATCCTTCCTCAAGACATTTTTCTTCTTTCCCTTCTCGCTTTCTGTAATGGCAGAACAGGGTGAACTTTACGCATCTGGTAGGAAAGGGGGAAGGATCCCCTCCCTGGGGAGTGCTTTATTGCTAGCTTGGAAGCAATGCTAGTTTGTCATTTTTATTTTTCTTTGTGTGGTGTTTTTAGTGATTTGAAGTCAACGGCCTGTTGCTCTTTAGTATTTGTTTTACTGGAACAGTTCCTGAATTGTTGGTGCAGCCTATGAAAACAGCTATACTTTACACCGTTCAGCTGCTTGTCATAATATTTAAAAGCAAATGCCTGCGCACTTTTATAATGGCACTTTAAGAATTATAAACCTCAGCATCCCATCTGTGTTTCACTCTGGTATTTACAGTGTAATGAATTCTCCCTTGCTGCTTCAGCTGGATACTCTTTCACCTCCTCTTCCTGTTTCAAGCAGTTGTTAAGTTGGTGTACATTTTAAAATTCCTCCAATTTTTAGGAGGTTGTCAGCGACATAAAAGAACTTCTTGTATTGCTTATTTGCCTGGCAGAGGCATTGAGCTAATCTAATTATGTTAAACCTAAGCATCCCTAGAGTAAAGAAGTGTATTGTCACTGGTTTGATCTGTTTATAACAGCTGGAGGCATTTGCTAAAACGGGAAGATTTTTGTTTTAGGAATAAGCTTTCTCTATAAGCAAACATTTTTTGCTGCAGACATACAGATTTTTTTGTTGCTATTCTTAATTTGTCCTTCAAAAGGAGGAAAAGGTGATTTTTTGGATGAAAGTAAGTTGGAAAGTCCAGAAACATATCTAGTGTATCTCCCAGCAAAAGAAGGCTGTTGCTATAGCACATTTTTGTTCCATTAGTGTTTGTACGTTTTTAAATTTAATTTTCCAAACAGCTTCAGGAAACTGGCATCCCATAAGTAAAATTTTTAAAAATAGCTCTGTTACTGCTGAAATAAGTCCTGTTATTTCCATGGACTGCTGTCCTGAGTGTATTACTGGCTCTCTAAAACCTTGAAGTGTTTAACGAGATACTGCTAAGCAGAGTTGTAACCCCAAATATTTACTGAGGAATTAGTTTGTCCCGTTTCTTTAAAGAATGAACTCTTGCAAATGGAATGCTGCTGTCTGCAAGGTTTATTTTAAACTTTTTCCTCTTTTGCTTAGAGGAAAAACAAAGCCTGAGTAGGAATGCGTGATTGTGTAGTAACTGTCCTTCTGAATACCCCAGACTGCTCAGCAGACCACTCCGCTTGCTGCAGAATGGCTGGGTAGGTAAATACGGTGCCCGTGTACCATGCTGCGTTGCTCCATGCTAGCCATCCTTGTTCACCTCCGCTCTTTTCCTTAAATCGATGAGTGTTTAAGGCATTTCACACTTAAACTTCAGTTATGAATTACCCTTTTTTTTTTTTCACAGGGCTGTGTGTTCTAGAGTTGCACCTTCCCCCACGTGAAACCGCTCATGCATAGATGCCTTTGTGCATGAAGCTGGGGTACCGGGCTGCTTTCTGTCCTCCGGCAGCACAGCTGCTGGCAATGCTTCCCATTGCTCTGCTCGGAGACCCTGAAGGAGCTGAGCTTCACAGGAGCAGCTGCTGGTCAGACTTAGCCTTTGGAGGGACTTTAGCTACAAGTGTAGTAGCACCGGTCCTGTCAAATGGTTTCTGCAGCTTTTGAGCTTGAAGCATAGATCCTTTGAGGTGTGAAGCACTGCAGGCCATAGGGAAGGCCCTGTTTGCTTGCCTCTCCTCCAAGCCTTCCCTTTTTAGGACTTAAAAAATGTTCCAGAGCAAGTTGCCAGAACAGACTTCCTAGCAACTTCACAATTAGCGATTTGCTTCCAAAAGCAAATGTGCACTGGCTGTGGCAGCTGTTACTTAGCAAAAATCCTGGGCTGTGTGCTGGAAAATGGCAGGAGTTCTGTGGACAAGGAAAAAAGAATCTGCTCATCCCTTGGAGGAATTAATGGGGAAAAGTTAAACTTTACAGGCTCTCTCTTTACCGTGGATATTTTGCATTGGTTGTCCAGATGCAGTTGTTTGATAATGATTTACTGTTTATAGGTATATATTTTTAGAGACATGACAAAGTCTACCTCTGCACCGAGATCTTTTGCCTATTATTAAAGTACTAAGTAGCAGAATTCAACCCGGTGCTGGTTATCCCTTTAAGGTTATTTAATTCCGAGTGTGATCTGAGCAACTTAACCTTCAGTAATGCGTTTCTCTCTCTTTAACTTCACTAACATGTCAGCACTGGGGGAACCTGAACTTCTGGTGTGGGTCTGTGCCCTACTTGCCCAGAGTGAGAAGATGCACCATGCTGGACAGCAGGTCGTTACCTCATAATTGCAGCACTGCTCTGAATCACAGTCTCGTGCTGATGCATCTCGGTGTCGGTTCGTTATCTGTCAGTCAGCAGTACCTGCCAGTAATGCTTTAATTTAGCCCTGTGGTACGGCATGTAAGAATTCCCAAGTTCCTTGATTAGGGATCCATCAGGCATCTTTAAAAGGAGCCTTTTGCTATTTGACAGCTTCATTTTCCGTGAGCTGTTCCGCGTTACCTAACGGTGCTGAACGAGGTCGCGTCGTCCACTGGGCCAGGGAGGCCAGAGCTCCATACCAGCCCCACTGCTGAGCTGCCTGCAGCGGGCTGAATCTCGCTGCTGTCATCGGAGCAGGGCTCCCTTCTGGAAAGGGAATGTCGAGCACAAATATTCTGCACGAATAGCATGCTGACTGGCTCTGTTTTTTCTAAAATGCATGGGTTCTTTAGTGCTCAAAATCTTTGAACTCTGATAGCAAAATGAGCAGACTGCAGGCTGGAGTTAGAGCTAGTCTTTAGAGCCTGTGCAAATGCAGTTTTTTCTAGTTCTCACTTTAAAACCCCAAGTCAGATTGTCAAGAACATTGCACATCGACCTTCATTTGCAAAGGAGGTAGGTAGGGTTGGTGTCTTGTTTACCGTATGAATGCAGCGTCTTTGACTTTTACGCTTTGCCACGTATTCAAGCATTCTTTAAAAATCCTAAGGACTAGGAACACAATCAGCAGTCACTCGCTACAGAAGGATGAGTCTTTGAATCTTGTATTCCTAAGCTCTCTCTAATCTTTTCATAGAACTTTTTATTAATCACAGTTGGAATAGTTGATAGCATTGGCTGCCTGCCCGCTCCGTGATCTGCTGGATCTTGGCGTGTTTGAGGGAAGTATAGCAAGTTCCTCCTGCCGGTGAGCTGGACGATCCTTGTGGAAAGGCTCTTCTGCAGAGACTGCCTCCCACGGAGTTCCTGGCACCGCGGGTTTTCTGGTGGGCTGGAATGGATGATCTGGCTTCCTTCGAGCCTTGCCCTGACTTTGAGGGAACGTTGGCAGCTGCAGGCTCCGGCCCTGGGAGATGCTTTGCATTACCAACTGTTGCCGCTTCCAGTTAGTTCGGAAAGGAATTCCCCTCCTTGCAGCCCACACTCGCTTCAAGGTATCTCTTAAAGCGCTGGTACTTGCATTGCTAGCTGCTTGCATGTTCTCAGAGCAGGCTTGAGCAAAGGGTTCTGGCCCGCACCGTAAACAGGGCATAGGTCAAGAAGGTCCAAATACGACAAGGGTTTTTTTCCAAACCTGTTGGTGTGACAAATTCCCATGACGAGTAGCTGTTTCTAATGAGAATGGTCCGAGTCTTGCACGATGCTGACGAGTAGCTGTTTCTAATGAGAATGGTAGAGCCACTCCGAGTCTTGCACGATGACTTTTAGGTTCTTTGTTCAGGCTTTGTTGCCAGCAAGTGCTGGTGTGCAATATCCGCCTGGAGGAAATTGCAGCCTGCTTATCGACTGTGTAGGAAATGGTACAAGTGGGAGATAGGGGAGTGTCTGCTGTGAGCATGGCTGTCCATGCATGGAGAGGTATGTGCTAAATAGTGAATGCTGTACTTAACGTACCGGGGGCCAGCTGACTTACTGAAGACCTTTCGCCAGCTGGGAAGTGCCGGCCGGCGTAGCCTGATGAACAGCAGCAGGAGCATGTCCAGTTAGTTTACCTCCTTGGCTCTAGCAGTCTTGTTTTTGATGTCAGTAAACAGGAGTGTGTGCAGTCACGCGTCGCTCGGCGAGCTCGGTCACGCTGCTGGATATCATGTTCTTTACCTTTGCACTGGGAGAAGCGTGGAAGGAAGGAGGGGGCAGAGTTTATTCCAGCACGCTGAGGTCAGGCTTGTTTTCCCTCTCTGAGCAAGAACAGACCAGCCCCTGGAGTCAGATTCTGCAAGCCTGTAAACAAAAGGCTCGTTTCTGCGGAAAGCCAAAGATGGTGTCGTGTTCATCTGGAAAGTTGTTGGGTTGGTTTTTCCCTGCTGCAAACTGTTCCTTGTGTACTAACTTCCAGTTCAAAAGTCTGTGCAGGAGAAATGGTGATGTTGTTCATCAGGCATAGCTCGGGGTGTCTGCAAAGCTGGCACTGATTGCAAACCGGAGGAGGAGGAGGAGGAGGAAGCTGGGAGGAGCCCAGGCAAGAGGCTGCTCCTGCAGCAGTGCTGGCTCCTGCAGAGTTTGACTCCAGCCTGCCAGGTAGCCTTCTAGCAAAGGGCCTGCCTACAGGCACGTCTCCTGCCCAACTGACTTTGCAGAGGCCATAAACCAGTACTGCAGAGATGGCCAGTCTGGGGTGATGAGGTGGTAAATGTCCTTGTCAAAATTGTAGGTGTGTTGCAGGGAGGGTGGTGCTCGTGGTGGTGTTATTCCCGCCTGCTGCATGGGAGCTGCTCAGGGACTGCCTTCAGCTGCAGGGGCTTCTGCTGTGGTTCTGGAGTAGTCCTCAAATAGTAGTGCCTGCAGAAAACCTAAACAGCTCTTAAAATGCTGAATGATTTAAAAAAAAAAAAAGGCAGTCCAGAAATCCCTGTGTTGCTTTTAAAACAAAAGGAAAGAGCAATCAGGATGACAGGTGCATTGACAAAGTTCAAGGAAGAACGATACAAACAAAAATAAAGAATGTGTGTAATGTCAATTTCAGGTTTTCGCTTTAGTTACAGCTTCAAGACTTCACTTAGTCAGAAGGTAGATTTGATTTTGGGTGGCTTGTCTTTGAATGAGGCGTTGTGCGCTCTCCTGCAGCTGGGAGGTGGTGGCTCATTCCTGTAGCAGCTTGGCATTTATCAGCTCTTACAGAGCACCAGAGGCACTTAAACAACTGCACATACTTCATGGGGCCAAGCTACTTGCTATTTAAATCTGTTTGCGATTTAGAAGCCGTAATTATTTTTTCATGCTATGAAATCACGTATAGCTGGAAGAGTTGGGAGGCGGTGGAGTGAGGATTGCAGCTGAAGGCTGGCTCAGCGCAGCCTGTGATTTATGGGGGCAAGTTCATCTTTTTCAGCAATTAGCAGGATATTGGGAAAGTAATCTTCATTCCTTTCCCTTATAAAAGGCACACCGTCCTGTATGGAAAGGGCTGAAGAGCATATTGACTTACTGAGGGCTGAAATTCCTCCAGGCTGCTCATCGCACCCCCTTTCCGTAGAGGCTTATTAACCTGTTCTGCAGGGAGAGGCAGGAACTGCATCTCCTTGTGATGGAAATGCCTCCTTGGCGGCAGAGCAAGGGCATCCCAGAAAGCGCTGCTCCTGAGGACTTGTTTTCCCACGTTCCTGGTGGCCTTTCTTACCTGCAGGACCTTTCAGATGCTGCTGCACTTGTTTTTCAGCTCCACAGGCCTGTACGTGCTCCTTGCCTATCTCCCATACTTTATTTTGGGAAGGGCATGCCGCTTGATTGACAAAATCTCCTGAATTTCAGTCCCTTTGGGTTTATTACTGAATTCTGAACGGGGATCAGGCAGGCCTGCGCTGCTTTAGCAGGAATGATTGCAATGAGCGAGGCCCCAGCTTTGGCATTTGCTATTTCGGGCCGGGAGGAAGGCGCAGGCTCCTCTCCACCTGCTCTCCCCGGGCACAGCTCTGCTCCCGCCAAAGCCTCGGCGGGGTCCAGGGGCTGCCTTCAGGCGAGCGTGTGGACGATGCCGTGGAAAGCTTCGCTCGAGCAGGGGGAATGTGAGAAAGCAGCAAGTGGCTTGCTGATCCTGGAGGAGGGGTGGATCAGTGGTGGTGGACTCGGAGCTGTTCAGAGGCCGACTGCAAACCTTGTGCCGTTTGCTCCGTCTGGAGTGTTTACGCTTTCACCCCATGCTCCTTTTTGGTCCCTTGGTCTCCTAACCTAACACAAGTTCTTCTGTTTCATAGTAAGGCTTTTTCTCTTGCTCTCACCTTCATATTTGTGTGGATAGCTGGCATTTGCCACTCTGGTTTGGAATACGGTATTTGTGAGAATTGCTATTCTCAAAAAAAAAAAAAAAAAAATTGCTTTTAAAATGATTGTTTTGGCAAGAGGGCTATTCCTCACCCTTTGATTTACTGAAATCTGAGGAAGACGGAGGTGAAAGAGGCAAGGCAAGCCATGGCCTAAAACCCAGTGCAGAGTAAATGACGTGGGCTTTACTCCTTTAAAAAAAAAATTGTTTGTGTTCAGACAGTAAGTGGAGAAAACAAGCAGGGTTGGATTTCAGCTCAGATAGATTTTTTTGGACTTAATCCCTAGCTCTCGCTCACAACAGCTTTGACTCCAGTGTGGTAAGTTGGGCTGACCGGAGGAGGGTTGAGCAATGTCTTACTGGTAAGCAGGAAGGAGGACGTCCTGCGGAGCCGTGTAACGTGGTGTGGCAGGGGAGCATCCCAACATGTGAGAAAGCTAAACATGACTTGGTTTTTCTCAGTGTGTTTTTAATGCTTTCTTAAGGCCAGCTCATTCCTAGACCACTTATTTGTGCTTGTTTCTTGAAAACTAAGCTTGTCTGTGTTTAGCCAGAGGACTCTGCTGGCTTCTTTGCTAAAACACTGCTATACAGCATTCCTCCCCAAAATACAAAGGTGCAAACACCTCTCCCTCTCCCACCACGGGGGACTTACGCTCAACATCTGTTGACTGTAGTCCAGTAGTTAGACTGCAGTGAAATCTAGAGCAAAATATTTAAGTGAACTCTCATCCAGTCGTTGAAGCACTAGTTATCTCCAGTTTCAGATGCCACACATTCAGATTAAGTGTCTGAAATACACGGTGTGACTGTTTTGTGCGTGTTATTTATAAAAACAAATGAAAATGGGTTCCCTGTCAATGTGTGTCCATTGTATGCAACAAAATAAAGATGTGCTTGGAAACATTATAAAATTCAAACAAATCAATGTTAATTTCAAAACATACCTGGGACATTGAGTTCTTCGGTATGAAAATTGATATCAGTAAAACCAGACAACTGCGGTGAATGCCGTGCCTTCCTTATTACACTCATTATTGAAGTAAATATTGCTATAAAGTCGCAGTCAATGGAGTAAAAGATATTATTCCAAATTATAACTTCATTAATAATGCACCATCTGTTTAGTATATCAGTGATGGATCTCCTGAATTCCCGTTTCCTTTCCAGAAGGAATCATAACTGGGATCCCCGGCAGCAAGCGTGCCTGACGAGACGGTAGCCGAAACTGCTCCACTGCAGTAAGAAGGTGAGCAAGAAGAACTCTACCCTTGTGAAACTTGCAGTTATCGTTTCATCATGAATTTACCTTCCATTGATGGTTAAGTTTTACCTGCTACAGCGGGAAAATGCCACAGCAGATAATACCGCTGTGGTGTTTGCCCAACTACGTTAGCTATTCCGAGGTGCTCTTCTGATTTGACTCTTTGTGCTCCTGCCGGTCCGAGACAAAGGCTGGTGATTACTCGCTGCCCGCGTGGAGCGACGTTCTGCTCGTTATGTAACAGTAATCCACCTCCTTAATTAGGGAAGAAGATCTGTAGATTCCGAAGGAGACATGTCCCTCTTAGTCAGAAGGCGTGAGGGGTGTGTGGGAGCCTTTGTTCTTGTTGGGAGCCAAGGGAAGCAGCAGGCTTTAACTGCTGTAGCTGGATGATGAAGTTCAGTTTCCTTTTTTATCTAGCCTTTGCTGGAACGTATGTGCGTGTTAACCAGTAGCACACGAACAGGAGATACTGCAAATGATGGCCTTTTAATTCTGTATAATAGCTTTTTTGCTCTGTGCTGGAATATTAGATGCTGCAAATGTCCTGTCTTCTCCCTGCCCTCTAAGCAGAATGGTCAAGGTAGAGGCAGGAGATTCAACAGGTGATTTAAGGTGCATGCCTCACTTGTCCTGTGCTGTTTTCTCTCATCTTTGGCTTCACATTGGTCCCACTGAAGCTGTTGCTTTCTGGAAGTATGCGACAAGGCAAAACCATAATGATTTTTGTCCATGCTGCTGAGGACAGCTCTTGCAAATTACCTTGTATTCCATTAAAATTATTAAATCGTCAGTTCCGATCTTCCCTATACAAACAATCAACACTAAAACATTGTCTGGTAGCACTGACTAATAAATCCTGTAATTAGTAATCTCCAGTTAATGAAGCAGCGTGGTGATTAAAGCCTCATGACTTTTCCATGGAAGAAATAAGCTAAATATCAGTTGTGCTGTTTTAAATTGCCCTAGAACTTTGTGTGATCTCAGAGCACAGAATAAATCAGTAGCATTGTTCTGAAAGTTTTAGACCGGTTTGTCTGTTTTTTGATACTTTCCCTGTGTGCCCCCAAATGCAATATTTAAATTTGATTCAAACTGAAATGATGCCTGTAGCTGTAGTTCACCTTCTAGTAAGCCTCACTGACCTCACTGCGTAAAGGAGATGGGCCGCATCGGACAAGTAAACTTTAGTGTGCTTGAAGGAAATGACGGTGAGATTAAGCATGGCGTTCGGTCTGCTCTGACTTCCTAGAAACAGCATTTCACCAGCGTATTTCCACTGCTTCCTTTTCCAAAATAGTTTCTGCAGTTTTTCACACAACCTTGTCTTCACGTATCTTTTTCTTCCGAGGTCTCGAATCTTGTCTGCCGTACGGATGGCAGGTCTGTGGCACCACGCATGACGTGATGCAGTTGGGTCTAACTACGTCCCATTTGTCCATCGTTGCCCTGCTGGGCACCAGATGCTGACTTTTAAGTGCAGCTGCTTATACGGAATACTTAGAAATCTTTTCAGTAGGCTTTAAAGAAATGATATCTATTGCTGCTTGGAGCACTCGGTAGCTGAAAATTTCACAGGGGGATACGGACTGCGGTACGCGAGTGTTGGTGTCGCCTTTCTCTGGTCCATCTTCATAGTGTAATACTTGGCATGAGTGCTTTCCGTGGAGCCTCAAAAGTCCCTTCGTGCATCAGCAGTCCTTTTGTGAAATCCTATATTTCCTGTCCCATGTGTGAAATACCAGCAAGGTAAAGGAACTTAAGCTTGGTGAGATGACAAACCCATAGCTGAGAATAGAGTATCTTGCTCACATACTTCTGTCGTCCTAGAGATGGATTATCTTTAGATCAAGGGTGCTGTATTTCAAAGAAAAGAAGGAGCGTTGCTTGCTTCTATTAGTGTACCCGCTGGAATTGAAGGGGCAGGAGGCTGAGCGCGTGTTTCAAACCTCCCTGTTTTCGGGAGGCGTTCGACATCCCCGCTGGGGCTTTGGGGAGAAGCGGGTCAGGCTGATGCTGCTTTGGGGCAGGAGGGAAAGCTGGACAGATGACAAACGGTTGCTGTTCTGCTGCAGTCGCTCGGAGGAGTTGAGATTTAGGTGACTCCAAAGCCGGTGGTTCTGTGTTTCTGCACAGAAAGCAAGGCTTTTGGAGGTGGAAACGGTGGCTAAACGCACACCTTTGTGCCTTTTGGGTATCTTATCTTCTAAAATGCAGATCAGTGGGAGAAACTGCGTTTAGAGTAACTGCCTGCAGTGAGCCGGTCTGAACTGCAGAGGTCTCTGTTAAGCCACCTAAGCCTTTGGAGTATTTTAAATGTGAAAGCTGTTGTTATGCTGTAGCCTTTTAATATTAAATAATGTGTATACATTTTAACAAAATAGACTGTCACGCTACCATTGCTTTAATTGCAGCTGCAGCTAACAGCGCGGTCCAGCCAGCACAGTGGAGCGAGGCACTACAGGGGACGCTACTCCTTGCAGGTCTCCCTGGAGCGCTTGGAAGAGTCAGCTTAGGCTTTGCAAGGAGGAGGATGGCTTTTCTTGCCGCTCTTAGCACTGACCCTAGCTCCGCAGAGCAGTCCCGATCTAGAGATGCCTACAAAAAGCGAGGTTTCGGCCGCCTCGCCGTCCCAGCGGTGGGTGTCAGCAGATGGCAGCACCCTGCCCTGCGCCAGGTGTTATTTCTGGCCGGGAGATTCCTCGGTCCCCTGGATTCAACACCACAGTCTAGACTTACTGACAGACAGGATTCTTCTCCCGTTAGGTAAGCAAGATGTAGACGCCCATTATGCAAATTCCCAGCCATAGTGTCCCTCTGTAACATTTTTCAAATTGTCTAAATAAGGTGCTGTTTCATACAAAAATTTGTAGCAAGATTTTTGGGTAGCTTTCAGCTGCCTTGCCCTCTAGGCGTGATTTTTTTCCTTGAAGATAGCTAATCAGTGCAGACTGAGTGCTTTTTGCCCTTAGCAGCTGTCCAGAAGTGGAACAGTAGGAAGAGGCAGGCTGCATAAAGAGCTAATGTTGTTCAAATAAGAAACTTAACGGCCAGTAGCTCTTGTCCCAGTCACTGCAGGGCTGTTCGTACAGGCATCTACGTGGATTCTATTAAATATAACATCATTACACGGACTTAACAGGCTTTTTTTTGCTTTCTGAGCACTGTAAGTGTACATCCCAGGGAAGAGAAGGGTTAGGGGGTGCAGCAACCCGGCGCCTTTCCCCATCAGGCTGTCAAATCTGGACAGAGGTGTTGCCCTGTTCAGTGGCTTGCGTGACTCATGCCCTTCGTGTCCTAGGCTGAAGGAGGTGGGAACTGATGATGACTGATTGTCCAAAGTGGCTGGAAACATCTTTGGCATTTTTACTTTCTTTTTTTTACAGAGAAATTAAACAAGCCTTTCAGGCCTGATGACTACTGACTTATTCTTGCAGCTGTAGACCAGAGAGGCTCTTGTCATGTACTTGTTATATGAGCACTAATTTCTGAGCACTTAGTATTTCTTCAAATGTTTTATAATGAGGTTCTGTAACTAGTATCTGTCCTTCTGCCCCCAGTCTGAAGTTGTTTTAAACCCTTCAAGCCTCAGAGCACGCAGTTTGACACAAATAGCTGGGAAGAGATGACTGGAGGCTTAATAAGATGCTCGTTGGGTCAGTAGCTGGCAGCCAACCAACAAGGCAGACTTTCAAATTGCTGTTAGTACTGCATGGTGATCACATCTCTTCTCAAGAAAACATTGGAAAGCTTCCTAATCTTGAATTCACTGCGCAGGCACGTGATTTTCTGGGAATTAGCTTGAATGCACTGCAGAATGGTTCATAAATACCTACATGGCCTAATATTAGATAATGGAAAAACAAGTACAGCGGGCGTTTTGTCAGTTTTCTTCATGGTGGCCCTTCAGCCAGCCCTGGTGGCCTCTCTATTTATACCAGCAGCTGCCAGCTTTGATGATGCTTCTATTCCTTACCTATCTAAGAAAGGAAAAAAGTCTGTATTTTTTAAATTGCGACATTACTCCTGTTTTACTGAGTATTATTTGTTTTGGGGCATAGTTAATTCTTCAAAGAATTTTTTTAGCTATTTTCAGGGGAAATGATAACACACTATACCCTGTGGTGTCTGCAAAGCTGTGGTGTTTGGATGTTCAAGCTGATGTTGACAGCCAGGAGTAAAGACTTTGTCCTTTGCTGCCCTCGCGGTGCTGGGTGGGACTCTCCCTTCCCGTCATGTGGGCTGCGATCCCATCCCTTCCTGCATGGGAAGGCTGTCCTTCAGCCTCCTCCCGCACTAAGCCCTGAAATGTGCTTCTGCACGTTAACGGCTTATTGCAGCACCCAATTACTGTCGATGACTCGCGATACGATCTTTCATCGGCAGCTTCCCAATACATCTGTGCTCTTGGTAACTTGCATGAGTTAGTCTGCCTGCTTCCAGCAGTATTATATAAACCATCTCCCGCTCGCCTTCTCATTTTGAAAGTGTATTTTAACATTTCGGCTTCAAGATCTGAGATAATGAAAGGGGGTGAGCGTTGCTGAGTCAGTTCTTACTGGCTCTGGTTTTTGTCCTTCCTGCCCTCCCACACGCTCCACCTGCGCACCGAGCTAACCTTCAGCAGTGACAGCCCCCATGGGCTTTCCTCTGAGCAGCTAGCAGTAAACAGAGCCCGGTTTCCTATTCTCCTGCTCCTTGGCCTGAGATAATCTAGGTTTTTTGGAAGAGCCGCGGCTGAGGAGCGTTGGAGATTTGGGAAGGAAAAAGGGGGTCCCTGAAGTTTGGGCAGGCTGCTCCTGCCAAACTGGCAAACAGCCAGGATAATTAAACCAGCCTTTCCTTTGAAACACCTAAACTCTGGGTAAACGTGAATGTAACCCTATGGTCGTTTCCAGCTGCAGAGCTGAGCTTTCGTTGTTTGACAGTATTGTGTGGAGGTGCTCGGTGTTGTGGTCGCTGGCTTAGGAGCTGACCGAGTTAGT